CGTTTTCTCCATCTACAATCCCACCACAGAATACCGTATGGGAAAATGCTTGACCTTCCCTGAAATTCTTGTCTGCCTTGTGACCCAAATGGATTCGTGGCAATATGGTGTAGTGGTTAACGTGTCGATATTAGACGCTACAGTGTCATGGTTCGACTCCCGCTGGGGGTATTGATAAGACCTATGCGAGGTCGAAATTGCAGTCCACTTTTGTCTGGATGAGAACAACTTTCGGGAAAGCAAAGCCATTAGGAATTTAATGAAAATGTCAGCTCTAACCATATCATTGAGGAAAAATTTAACTACTAGTCCTTCATCACCTTAAACGAAATAGAGTTAATATAACTCATAGATCTGATTTACTGTTAGTCTCAAAAGCCTACTTAAAACGAAATATAATTACAAAACAGCCCAACGTAAGGCCATCAAAGTTCACTGACTCAATGAAAAGATTGACCCGGACTGGGTATGCCTGAAATTACCTCTGATTAGATAAGAACAAAATGAGGTTACAAAATATAATATATAATAATAATAATAATATAAATAAAATTTAAGAAAGGGATCTACGATATACCAATATCTATATAATTTCGTTTTTAGTTGAGTATATATATATATATATATATATATATATATATATATAGAATGCTGGTTAGAGCCTGATAGTCATCTTGACTTAATAGTAACTTGATGCTTTTGTATGAATAGATTGCAACCCGGATGATGTTTTTCAACTGGCGGGTTTGCTTAAATCTTAGCCCGTTTTTAACATAAAGCGAAAGAGGCATGTCTCGTGGATTAGGTCAGCCGGCTGTCGAATTCTGGTGAAATCGACCTACGAATCTCTTCATTAACCACTTTCATACGAAATAAATGTCTCCAAAACAATGTTATCTCAAGAGATTTATCCAAGCCTACTTACTCTTCGTCCAAACCACTCACAAATAAGCCCGCTCTAAATTCACTGTGTCGATCATGCCGCGTTTCGTGCTCAGATCTTTCGAAATATGCTTACTTCTCAACCACTGTCTTGCCACAACGAAACATCTATCGAAGGTGCCGACATTCTGCTCTTTGATAACCAAAAGTTTTCTGTTTCAGCCTCGCGATCCTTAATCAGAAAGTCCTTTAGTTTGGTCTGTGTGCGTCACACACGGCCTCTAAGCATGTACCACTTCTGCGTAGCCTTACTTTTGCTTACCCTCCCATTCCCTTTTACGTATCAGAAGCTTTATCTCCATTTTAATATAAAGTGGGTCTTGAAAACATCAGCAATGCTCGATATACGAGTTCCAGTCACCAAAGTTAGCATCAGGTAATAACAGAATAATTGTTAAATTTTACCACAGTCAGTCAGAAGGCATCATAATGCCATTGAACTCCACTTAGCCTTGCTTGTCAAAAGGTATCCTCGTCCAGGCGAGTGTGGACAGTAGCATCGACCCCGCCTAGGTCTGATTTATCGGCAGTCTCGGGAACAATCTTTATCGAAACAAGATTAATGCAGCCAATCGTAATGGCAAAATAAATTTGTTTGATAAAAGTAGGCTTCGAGACTTTCAGTAATTCGTGAATAACAATTTAGTCATCTGAGATCACTTTAAGTGAGTTAAGGGCCGTTAGTTCGGCTTTTCCCAAAATAATATATGCATACGTAACGTTTTCATTAAATATTTCATTGCTTAGGTTCCCAAAAGGTAATCTCATCTTGACTATACGGAACTGGACTAAAGTTCCAGTCACCCCCAGTGGGACTTGAACCAGATTTGTGATAATGCAGCGAATACTCTCGAAACATTGACCACTACATCCCACTGCCACAAAAGCATTTTAGTTGCATGGCAGATGGGAAGTTTAGTCATTGATCGCCTTAAATAAAATTGGATGAATATAACTCTTGCATCAGATCTGCTAGTAGTGTCGAAAACCTACTTATATACCGAGAATAAGTAGTACAATCGACTGCTACAGCAAATAAAAATTTTGCTTCGTCGACGATCCTATCACACTAAGTGATATGTGAAAGGCTTGGCGTAGTGGCAGTGTGGCGTAATTGTGGATGTTTCTAGACTATATGTTGCACTATCACAATCGAGGTTAGAGTTCCGTTGGAGGCAGTGATAAAGCTAGTTCGAACAAGGTGGAAACTGCTGTCCAACCGGAATTATAATAACTTGTGGGTAGCAATGCTATATTAAATGCAACAGAAAACATGAGGATTAGTCATATAATTGTGGGAAAATTCAACTACCAGTCCTTCATCACCTTACAGCTCTTTCATCTGAAAGCTTAGCACGTCTACAGCAGAACTAACGGTGATTGACTCAAGTAGGGGGCCACTATGGCCAGACAAAGACAGACCGCATAATGTGTAGTATTATTAGTATTGCTTTTTTAACATTGGTTGTGTGATTGATGTTGGCAGTAGTAGTAGTAGTAGTAGTAATAGTAATAATAATAATAATAATAATAATAATAATAATAATAATAATAATAATAA